ACAAATCAAATGCCACAGGCAGTGGCACATGCCGAAAGCCTCAATCACAGCTTATTAGTCGAGTTGGCGGCGCAGCTGTTTGCCTTTGCCGCATCCTGCTGAATTATTCACGAGTCCTTGCGCCAGGACACTCATTTGCATTTCTCCAATTTGCCACCTGCCATCGAGGTCCTCTAATTTTGGGGCTGTGCAAATTTGCATGCCATTTATTGACGAGTGGATTTGCTCGAATAGCCAAGCTGTCAATCCAAACACTCTTATTTGCATTGTTTTGGCCCAGACGAGACAGACGTATTTTTGCGTATTTTTGTGAATTTTTCAATTGAATAAAAGTGCCTTTCCTGACAGAAGGAGGGTGAGGTGCGGATTCTCTCTATACCATCACGTTTAAATGCCATCAGTTCCATTTCAGCAATCTGCACCAGTGATTTTCGCTTGTAGCGATAATTTATGCAAACACAATAGTGCACTGACATGCTCCCCGATTATTGATTGATTGATTAATTGGAGTGGGAAAGAGGAGGACAGCCATTTTTCCTAATTAGCCACGTTGCACTGCGAACACATTTATCACATTGTAACCCGACTGGCCTGCTATCTATATTATATTATGTGTTATGTGTACGCCAGTAGTTATTGACGGCTAATGCCACTAGAAAAATTGGCCAGCTTCTGATAAAGTGACTGTGCCTGTCCTTGATAAACGGCAGCTATTGCTGACGTCGGTTAACTAAACCGGGCTAAAAAGCATTGACTAACTGGGCGCACAATTTGATGAATGGTTTTTCCTCGGATACAAATAAAATGTGACGATTGCGTAATGTCCTTTATCTGAGATGTATTTATTATACTGTTCGCATAATCTCTTGCCCACTTTGGGCGGAAACGGAAGTCGAACTAAGTGGGATTGATTTTCTTTTACTTTTATTCTACTTTAGGGATGCCTTTTCTGACATCACAGGTGATTTAAAATATTTCATAAAAGTGCCTAAAAGTATGCAGTGAATATATCCTTTGGTCTTCTATTTAAAAATATATTGTGGCATGCTTTTAGATTCCTTTATAGGTGATCTTACATCCCTGGTAAATATTATTATTTATTTATTAAAATTTCCTCTTGACACACCCAAGATATATTATTTCCTATAAGGAAGAACAAAATTGAAATTTCAATTTTAATAAAACCTTTCTTGCATAAAATCAATACACCTTCCTGTGCTTTCAGATTGAATATGCTAATAAATGCAAATAGAATATTACCAACGTGGGTTGAGCCGTGTCTTTGCCAAAATGCTACGCATTTTCCCCCCAAGGAAGCGTTTAACGAAACTCTTCTGTTCGACACACAGAAAATTATTCTGGAATCGAAAACTAAATATTTTATCAGCTCTTTTGAGGGAATTTAAAGGCAATTCTGTTTGCTCAACTTGTTGAATGCCCGCCATGGTGCAGCTGACCGAACCAGAATTCGATTAAGGTAAACAAAGGGGGCTGTATTAACAAGTTAAAGTCCTTATTGTGTGCTCACACTGAGCCCCAAGGCACACAAACGGTCCGCCCATTGTTGTATGCTATTTTTGCAGGCACTGTGAAATATCTGCTGCACATAAATACATGGCCATGTACATGGGATGGCCATATACATAGAGGGGGAGGCTGTCATGTACAGCGCATCTGCTGATATTTCAGCTTTTCCAGCGGGTTTTTCATTCACCTTTCATGAATTCTCGCGCGGGGCGAGTGAAAATCCATAAATTTCTGATTCTGACGGGAGAAGAGAGATGACGTGTCACCGGGGCAGGCGACTTGTGGCCATGATCCGGCGACAATAGCGCCCACGCCAAAAGGATACCGCTTTTAGTGATGTAACTACACAGCTGTTGTCCTTTTGGTAAAAAAAAATAAAAAGAAAGTGTGAAGCAACAAGTGCGACGAACGGCTTCTTGTTAATAAATTTGCTATTTAAATGCGGCAGCCGACTAATTATAGACACCAATTTGGCAGGCTGAAGAGTGAGCAATGGCCAAAACGCACACATGTGCGAGCTTTTTCGTGTGGGTGGTGTCGAGCTTAAGTAACCCCACACACACTGAAACAAAGGGGGTGGCCAACAGCTGCCACACTTGCCACGAAGCCCCGTTATCACCCCTGTGTGCGACACATTATATTTTAATGGCGAGCCGGGCACACAGACACAATGGCAGCTATATTGCCACATTAGACTCCTGCTTTCACCACCTCCCACATAAATCCCCATCTAAATTTTTGTCCTTACTCTTACTTTTACTTTCACTTGGCACATGCCATATGCTCAGCTCATGAAGAGAAATCCGCAAATTATGCGGGACATCTAAAAATATGCAAGCAATTTAGCCACATGTGGTCGACCGGCCAACAGATTAGTTAATTCCCATTGTTCATGTGTGTGGGCCCACTGTGCGTATACGCAATGCCATCGTTATCTATCCATTCTGTACGTTTTTTCGTGGCAACATACTTAGGAAGTCCATTAAATTGGCCGGGCTGCGATAGGCCAATGGAGCCAGCTGGCCAGCTGTTGCAGTACCCATCGAGTAATTTACACACAAATTAACAGGGCATAAAAATAGACGAACTCCCCTTGCTTTTCGCATTGTCGAACTGTCTGTGGAGCACTGTGATTGACAGCAGTCAACGGATTGATGGCCCTCCAGTTGCGCGCCCTGTCGATGTTTTGTTTCCCTGCTTACTTATGCGCGGCACTTGGCGCCTAAGTAAACCAGGGGTGTCCTGTTTCCACCCCTACACCCCTGGATTTCTTGGAAGGGGTGATGTCCTTTATTGACTGCCGGTCGGCGGTGGTGATGGCTGACGTGGCTGGCTGGGAATTCATCAATTCGTGACATAAAGTCTGGAAATGTAAACCGAATTCCGGGAATATTTATGAAAGATGTACACAGCGAAATCGGGGTTTTGGATTCGGGAGTTGGTTTCACAAATCAACAAACAAGAAACCGAAAGTCAACATAAATGTTAATTAATTTAAGAAAAGGGAAGTCTTAGCTAAAACCTACAATACAATGCCAAGCTGAATTTCACTGTCTTGCAAATAATAATAACATATTTTTTTATTTCTATTAGTTAAGTACCTAACATAGCTTATGTTTATACAGTATTTCAATTGTACATATGAATTTTTACTTAACAATTTCTGGTGCGAATCAGTTCTAAGCAAATTTGAAGACGTATTTTATAGTTGAATTTGCCTCTTTTAAAATATAAGACATTTATATTATAGAATATCAATTTTTTCATTTTAACATCTAAAGGTAAAAGAGAAGGTTAAATCAACCGGTAATTGTAGAATTTTTTTCTGTGTCTCGCCTTTGGGGCTTCTTATTTCGCTTGTTAATTTTATTGGATATTTACTAGACTCTTCTATCGTTTACCTAGAATTACGCATTTTCGTCTGATCAAAGAAATTTCTACCATTCCCGCAACCCTTACCGATAAGAATTAAACCCTCATTCCTTTGCGGGCAAAGTGTTGAGGGCAATTGGAAGTTTGCAGACAGCGGTCAGAAAAGCCATAAACGCCAAAACAGGCGTAAAAGAGTGAAAACATTCCGCTGCTTCAATTTTCTGGCCCAATATCCTTATTCATATTTAATGCGGCTGCGAAAGGGGGAGGAATCCTTAAAACCACCGCGTGGGCGGGTTTTGCATAAGCTCACGTTGATGAAACTCCGACGGGCTGCAAGAACCTTTGTTTAGTAAAAGTCTTCAGTGGGTTTAGGCAATTACCCACGTGTGCCTAGAGCTCCTGCCAGGAGCCCAGCAGCCAGGAAGCCTTTCAAGTCATCATCTTATGATTTTGCGGCTGGCTTGGTTAATGAGCCATGTTTTAAAAATAGATTCGCTGTCGGCGGGCTGCTTTTGCTGGCAAATTGATGGGTATTGTCATCGCCATTGCCAATCCCCATTTATGCTGTTTTATTGATGCGCATTTGCGCGAATTATGAATTGATAGCGAAGGCACTCAACGCCGCACAGCTGCTAATTAATCACGATGTAAGCCTGAATATGCAGGACTCCAGGCGCCCGTCCAAAAGGGCAAAGTTAAACGACGCCCAGCAGCTGGCCAAACGCAATTTGAGTGTCCAATAGCTTAGAGATGAGCAACATGTTGCAGCCGGATCAAAAAACATACAGTGAGGAAATAAAATCGAAGTTTTTAAATCACTTTCTAAGATATCAAAAATTATGCAGTAAAAAAGCATTCTTCAAAATATTAAATCCAAATATTTGTTACATACTTTAAGTCATTTTAAGAAATAAGTAGGTTTGCAATGTCATAAAATCTCTAGGGTTTTGAAGCTCATACCAAAGTGCCTTAAAGTATGCACAAAACTGCATTCGTAGGATATTGGTGCATACTTTTAGACACCTTTAGAAAGTGTTATAAAATATTCTTTTGAAATTTTTTAAAGAATCTGAGTCTGTAATCTTGATTCAAGACCATTTTGCTTACGTGTAGACCAAAAATAGTGGAACATTCCCAAGGGCGGCCTGCCATTGGCCAAGTGAAAGTGGGTTTGGCCCAAGGGCCCGGCACGTATCGTGTGGAAACTCGAGACCCCTTTCACTGAAATTGCAGTGGGGGAAAAACGGAAAATTACTGGCCCAGTCTTGGGGGCCCAGCTATTCTGGCACTCAATTTACCAAAGCCAATTAATGATGATGATGTTGGAGTTGCTGCTTCTGCTGCTGCTGCCTCAGTGGCTCCTGCTGCAGATGATGATTATGACTGGCAATTTAGAGGGCGCAATTATGGGCACACACACACCAAACACAACACCCCATCGGAATGTGTGTGAGAAATAGCTTGGGCCAAACTCAATTAGAGCGCAATTACGGGTCACGCTTCTAGGCGCAAAACAAGCCCAGAATTAATGTGTTTTCCCCACTTAAAATGCCACGGGGTCTAATGAAATGTTGCCTTGCATTCTGGAATCTTTACAGCTGGTCGGCGCCGATGGACAGGAGTATCACTTCAAGCACAGGACCCTTCCCCACGCCCGATCCAGGCGCAGTCTGACGCACACACGGGCCCTCAAGAGCCACCCGGCGGTAAGTAGTTGGAAATGCAGAAGACTCCCACCAAGGCCAAAAGGGAAAACGCGCCACTTGGCTCACTTACTGCTAGTTCAGGCGAAAACAAGGTAGAAACGTGCCCAATGCAATGGAATGGCAGGGAAATAAATGTTTATTGGGTACCTGGAATTTTGCTCATATTAATTCCTACTATTGGAGCACTTCTTTTACATTTCCCGAAAATTGGTACCTGGTATTCTTGATAAAAATAGTATTATTATTAATTTTATTAAAAGGATTAGATTGTTTATATTCTTATAATATTACATAGAAGTTGCTTATCTATATTTCTTTCTATTACAAAATAAGGATACTAGAGCGTTGAAAAAGATACAATGTGTTATAAAGTAATCTTCAAAACGCCGTATAGAATAAATACACCATTTATTAGACTTTTTTAGAAACAAATAGATACTACTCCCTGCGTAAGTAGGTCGTCAGGTAACAATGTGCCTGCTTTTTCGCACGAGTGTCAAATGCCAGAGTTCACTGCGAGCTCCCAAAATAGTTTGCACCGGACATTGTTTGCCGTTCGACATAGGGACATTGATTGCATGGCGATAGGATGCAGGTCCATTTGTCCACCGGAGTGGAACGTGCCATTAGGCCATTGTCGATAATCAGCGTGCCAAATGCAGTACACAAACAAGTGTGCATCCATCCACAGGACACAATATGGAAATTGGCATGCAAACTGGGTCGTTTCGTTTCTGTTCACAGCTGTTTGCACAGCTTTGGATTGTAAAACACACACGCATAGCAATGACCCGCATGTTGAGGGACTTACATGGGTTTTACTCCCAGTTTCTGTGATAGATAGCCCATATAAACCTAACCCACTTGTGGTTGCCACGCCGACCTTAACTCTAATGGGTTCGCTCAATCCACAGGTTCACACGGCCGTGCAACAGCCGGGATTCAAGCGGGTTAAAAGGGGTCTGCGGCCAGCGGTTCCCGCCATCCACGGCATGAAGTTCGACCTAAAAATGGGCGAGGCCAATCGGATTGAGGAGGAGCCCACCGACCCCTACTTTCCCATGCAGTGGTATCTCAAGAACACGGGACAGAATGGCGGAAAAGTACGATTGGATCTGAATGTTCAGGCTGCCTGGGCCCAGGGAATCACCGGAAAGAATGTGACAACGGCCATCATGGATGACGGTGGGTATTTTCGGAAGCGAAAATGTATGAATCCAATCTACAGTTTTATTAACTTTTCACTTTGTTATTACATTTGCTGCCCAGGCGTGGACTACATGCATCCGGATCTGAAATTTAATTATGTGAGTATGAAACCCTTTCGGTCCGGATAATAACATTTGCGAGCTTTTAATTAAATTTTGGCTTACATATCAGTTGCAAATGTGGCATTATACCTTGGATTGAGGTTCTATATATACAATCCAATTTAGCTTCTGTTAAACCCCTAGTGTGCAGCAAAGTTGTCGGGAAATTGAAGCGAAAAGCTTAAACTTTTCCTGACATTAAAACTTTCCACCATCATTATTGTCAAAGTGCTTATCTGCCATGCATATTTAAACAGCTCTCGGTGAAAGGTCTGGGTCTAGAAAGGCCAGATATAAATGTTACGGAATAAAGTGAATAATATTACCCAAAAGCTACAACAAAAAGTACTTACCTGGGTACATACAAATACGTACCCGCAATTTATCTGGTTATATGTATCTACTCATTTCCAGAACGCCGAGGCCAGTTATGACTTCAGTAGCAACGATCCCTTTCCATATCCCCGATACACCGACGACTGGTTCAACAGGTGAGTGAAAAAGCCAATCAATTTCGGGGAAAATGTCCTTGATGGTCGTTATAGAATTTACAACACGATTTGTTTATGTCATATGATTTAATTGGAATTAGCAAGTTGATGACTAAAGCCGCCTTTCTCTGTGGCAAGACAAACTTTTGCTAATTGAAAGACAGTTGCTGGAATTAAGTGCTATTTTCTGTTGGGACCACAAAGTTCCAGGGTTCCATTATTTAGCCCTTTAGTTTGCTGCTGTGTGTGTTAGCTTATAATGCGCACTGCTTAATGGATAGAGAGGACTTTTTATTAAGCTGCTTACCTGCAGGATTCCCTGTAAATGTTTTTACCCCATATCTACTGTATCTTGCAGCCATGGAACTCGTTGTGCCGGCGAAGTGGCTGCTGCCAGAGATAATGGAATTTGCGGCGTTGGCGTTGCTTATGACAGCAAAATCGCAGGTAAGTGGCTTTGGCAGAATCCTCTGCATAAATATACGCCACGTCTTCGGGGTCCCGACCTCGAAAGTTTTTCGGCTGATAAATCGCATTACGCATACGCCGCGTAAACCGTTGTGAATCGATTGACAGCTCTACAGCTATGTGTGCTATTAAATGGAAAGTTCATAAGCAATATTTCCTCATTGTAAATTGAATTCCGAAAAACATAAATGGGGCTGTTTTTTGCCCTGGGAATGGGACCGCAACAAGTGTGGCCGCGTTATCTGTCATTTTTTATCGCCCACCGGGGAGAAATCATGTGAAAAATCGGAAAATTTCGAAGCCGGGAAATGCAGTGGAATTTTTACGATTGCCGTAAAGCGCCAAGTGAAAGTGACTGGTGGTGGTGGTTCGGCGGGGCTGGGTCGTATAAATATTGATTTATAATTTCCGCCATTAGATTTAATGCATACTTATCGCTCGCTCCGCAGGCATTCGCATGCTGGACCAGCCCTACATGACGGACCTAATCGAGGCCAACTCCATGGGCCACGAGCCGCACAAAATCCACATCTACAGCGCCTCCTGGGGTCCCACCGATGATGGCAAGACGGTGGATGGTCCCCGGAATGCCACCATGCGAGCGATAGTCCAGGGCGTGAATGAGGTATGATCCAGGGGTCCGAATGTACAATCCCCGGAATTAATGGCTAATCTTTCACACCACCCGCAGGGTCGAAATGGCCTCGGGAACATCTATGTTTGGGCCTCCGGCGACGGCGGCGAGGAGGACGACTGCAACTGCGACGGCTATGCCGCCTCCATGTGGACCATTTCCATTAACAGCGCCATCAACGACGGCCAGAACGCCCACTACGACGAGAGCTGCAGCTCCACGCTGGCCTCCACGTTCAGCAACGGAGCCAAGGACCCCAACACGGGCGTTGCCACCACGGACCTCTACGGCAAGTGCACGACCACCCACTCGGGCACCAGTGCGGCGGCACCCGAAGCAGCGGGCGTTTTCGCCCTGGCCCTGGAGGCCAAGTGAGTAATCCCTCCGCTCCGATCCCTTCAGATTAATACACTCGAAAAATAGTGTGAAAAATATCTCTAATTTGGGTAATAAAAATCCCATCAAGTTCAAAACTAAGTTCGTATATGAAAATATGGTACAGAATTCTCTTCTGCTTAAAAGGGTTTTGAAGAAACTAAAGTTAATCAAAGCATTAAAGTCCATGATTAGATTTTCTAATAATAAAGGTCAGACCTTGAAAATGTTTGGCCTTTTCAGACTTGTTTATAAACCCAAAAAATGCCTTACTTATTTTGCGAGTGTATCCCTTTTGTCACTTTATGAATTTATGCTAATCCTTCGCTTCAACCCACACAACCTTCACAGCCCGCAGCTGACTTGGCGCGACATCCAGCATCTGACGGTGCTGACATCGAAGCGCAACTCTCTGTTCGATGCCAAGAACCGCTTCCACTGGACAATGAACGGCGTGGGCTTAGAGTTCAATCACCTCTTTGGGTTCGGCGTGCTGGATGCCGGCGCCATGGTCACACTATCCAAGCAGTGGCATGCAGTGCCACCTCGTTACCACTGCGAGGCGGGCGAGCTCACCCAGCCACAGTGAGTACCACACGGAATACTTCCTGGCCTAAACCAGCTTAACCTATTTTTGTCCTTTATCCCAGGGCCATCGTCATGGGTCGCTCGCTCTTTTGGGAGATCAAAACCGATGCCTGCAAGGGCACTGACACGGAAGTGAACTACTTGGAACATGTCCAGGCGGTAATCTCGGCTAATGCCTCTCGACGAGGCGATCTGGAGCTTTTCCTTACATCTCCCATGGGCACCAAGTGAGTAAAAACACTAAAAAAACTGTTTTGTAAATACTCTAAAATCTTAATCTTAAGTACTATCCTAAAAACATTTTTGTTTATCTTCAAAAAAGACCAATATCTAAAAAGAATTTTTTCTGTTTCTCGTGTCTAGTATTAGGTACATTAAATAAATCTGGTTAAACTTCATCTTTCAAGATGTTTCACCTTTACCATAATCTTATTCCATTGCCTTCCCTTCTTTTTTGCGGATTATTTTTGTTGTTCTGACAAATTCAATAAATATCCATTATCCCACAGATCCATGATCCTGTCGAGGCGGGCCAACGATGATGACCACCGCGACGGCTTCACCAAGTGGCCCTTCATGACCACCCACTCGTGGGGCGAGTATCCGCAGGGCACCTGGAAACTGGAGGTAGTACACATGTGGGGTCCTATATTTAATCACGTTAACCCAAACGATTCCGTCCACAGGCACGTTTCAACTCCCCTCAAACCCGACATGGCTATCTGCTGGAATGGTCCCTGGTCCTCCACGGCACGAAGGAGGCGCCCTACCGCACCCTGCACCCCTCCTCGCCGCACTCCAAGCTGGCCATTGTGAAGAAGGCGCACGAGGACAAGAAGATGAAGTAGGGCGGGTCGCGCCGGGGGTCAGAGGTCAGGTCCAGATAAACATCCGCGTAGCGACGTCCATTAGGCAGCTTGGCGTTTCATCATCGAGTTTAGCGTGAGGTTCAATAAAAGTGCTGGCTGTGTTTTATTTTGGAATAGGATTGATTGAGATTAAACTCTATTGTTTTCGATTGCGTTTTTCCTTCATGCCATTTCAAATATTTGCTTTGGATCCGTCGAACTGAAAGTTCATTTAAGCAAGTGATGTTGTTTATCAGTTTGTGTAATTAGTTTTTAATTTGATGAGCTAAGCTAATCGTTTCATTCGCCGTTTGAATCATTTCTGGAAATTGCAAAGCGCACATTTACCACATTAGAAAAGGACTCGTAAGTCCTGCACTCAACACCATGATCCGTTGAGTGTCCTAGCAAACTCTGTAGTGAATATCAAAGAAAACCACAAACTAAGAACAAAGAAAACAGGTATAGCAGGTAGAGCCGGTATTCGAAAGGTGCGAGAAGGCGGGAAATAGAGATATAACGGAGGAAACCAACTAGAACAAAGAAATCCAGGATAAACCCTATGTAAATGTGTAATATCTATATGTATACATACCCTATCTTTAACTGCGTCCTTTGCCGTTAGACTCTTAAATCTATCTAGTATAAAATACAAACAACTAAACAAAGTATTTACACGTATTTTAAAGCTACGTCCTTTGTTCTCCATACTATATATATATACACACGAGAATATACCTACATGCATATAATATGTACTTAAAGGAAACTTAGCAAAACATAAAATGTTAATCCCATAAATGCGGAACAAGTTTGTCGCTTCACTTTGGTTGCAAGCCGAATTCTGCTTTTATTTCGAGACGACTCGTACGTGTAAAATGCATTTACATACATAGTTTTCCTTTCAGTTTCTTTCGGGGGCCAAAAAAACCACAACATAGTAACATTAATGGTGTGAAACCAACGTAGAACGGAGCGAGTGTTATGTAAAAACATAAACAAATGTTAAAGTACAAGTGCGGAACCTTGAATGGTGAGCAGCGAGTTTAGCACGTAACGTCAGATACAGATACAGATTGTTTTACCTAGTCTAATAACTGAGGTACAGCGCATTGTTAAAGTTTATCGATAATGTGCGAGAGGAATGAACAAAAATTATATATGCAGAAGTACATACATGTGTAATTATTAATCAAAAACCACACGAGGAGATGGCGGCGAAATCTGTTGTGGCATAACCATTATATACATACACCGAATATTTAACTATATATGCATAAATGTATGATACGTATATAGAGATACATATATACCACAAAATAAACGCAAGGAGTATCTTATGTGGCCGTTAAGTTGAACTTTGATGTTGTAGATACAAAGCAGTAGCACACAATAGAGGCACCACACCACTCAGAACTATACTCGTATAAGGCAGTGTGAATGCTAGATGCCCAGTGCATCGAACATAGATTGATGATTGCATATTTAATTATTTTCCATAGCGCTCAATATTCTGTCTTTTGGTGCGATTTTGTCATTTCCATGTAATTGAACAGAAAGAGAATTTAATTTTGTAAATAAAAGTTAAGAAAAAACGGATTAAAGCGTTTGATTTTTGGGGTAGAACAAACTTTTTGAAATCTTATAAATATAAAAGGTGGAATTTTGATTGAGAGTTAAAACTTATAAAAATATAAACTATTCGGCCAGTGGTTTGAAAGGGGTATTTTAAGAATTTAAAAAATATATATACTTTTGAGGTACAATTTAGAATGCCCGTCAATGTTTTTTTTAGAATTGTTTAGATTGAATTTCTAAGTTATATTTAAAATTGTTTTTCTTAGTGTAGTCGAGTAAGCTTAAAAGCTTTTCCTTCTGCTTTTCTACACTCAGTGTTTGTGTACAGGAAACTCTACAAAAAGTTACCAGAAAGCTTTTAAAATCCTGGTTCTTGGAAAATCAACAAGCTTTCCTTATAAAGCTTACTTCCACAAAGGATATACTTTTGAGCTTTGTCCCACTGGACCCTGCTGGGAATTAAATGACCACACTTTATATATATTTCTTTAATATTATGAACATCAATTAATTATGGAACACTATTTTGGCCATGTCCAGGACACGCTTTCAAAATATAATTAATGAAAGCCAATTAATATGCCAGAATGAGCATGTGATAGCTGCAGGATGTGGGGTAAAGGGATTACTGTCCTGCTGAGGTCCACTCTATGCGAAAATCACATTGAATATGACGCAATATTTCGGAGATATTTTGCAGGTATTTCCTTTGGTATCTATTTAATTGCGTGTGACTTATAGTGTTTTTTCTCACATAACATATATTCTAATAATGGCCTGGCCAAATTCGCACTCTTGTGTGAAAAAGGGCAACAGTTTTAATTGTTGACTCAACTAATTGCGCGATATCCGCCTAGAAGTCCTTGGTCCTTGGCGGGCGTGTCTTGCCAGCTTTTTGTGTTGCTCCATTTCTGTTTGTAGCCGGAAATATTTATTAACTAGAAATTGCATAGCACAAAGGCAACAAGCAGGCCGCAGGAAGGAAGGAAGTGGGCAAACATGTGACGCACCCCCAGGAGCAAATATAACCTACACATACACACCGAGCGACTCCATGGCGTATACGCAACGCACAGCGTGTCGGCTACGTGTTGTTTTTAGGCCTTCATAAATCATCTGGCTGTGGGCATATGATAAATTGTCATACTAATTGTTTTTAGCGTCCAAGACAGGCCGCGTAGAAACGTGCCACAAGAAAAGGCAGCTCTTGGACTTCACGTTTTCTCTTTAAAGTATATATTTCAGCCTGTCAAATATCGCCTATCATTTGGCTTTACAGTATTGCAATTCTGTAAATGGAGTCTCCCCCATGAAATCCCCTTCATTTGAACTTGTAGCCCATAAACTGGCTAGCCATCAATCATAATTAGCTGGCGATATCATGTGCCCATCGATGGATTTGGTTACAATGTAAGAAAAAAATGTAACCGCCAAGCTATTCGGTTACAAAAATGTTACGTTTTTACATGGTAACAAGTTTTTGATTTATGACACATTAATAGTGACAGCTGGCCCGCTTTTGGGTCAGTTGGGCGTTGGTGTTGGGGTCGTCTTCTTATAGACAGCTTCCAACCAAAGAGAGCAACAGGTTTTGACCTCTTCTCTTGGCCACTTTCTTTCGGAGCGGGTCTTTTGGCCCTAGAGAAACGAGACAAAGTGTTTGACACTTTAATGAACTGCCCGGGGTCGCGTGTGTGAGCAGTTCATTAATATTAATGCCCCGGGTGCTCTGTTTTCTTTCTTGGCCAACTTGCCAGCTTGCCATCTTGCGAGTTTCGCAGACCTTAGACCAATTCGCTCTGGGCCAGACACAAATGTCAATTGCCGTCGACCATTAGCTAATATTTGGTAATTGCTCTTTAATTGGGCACCCTGTCTTCGATAGTTCTGTAATTTGGCCGCCCCTAATTGTGCGTAATAACGGTCCGCTGACCTTTGCCCACTTAGATACTCAGCTACTCATTAACTCAGATACAGAGCGATACGATACGATTTGTTCTGTTTAATGCTGTCATGATTTGTGTTTTTGGCGCCCCACAAAATGGCCCTGATTATCTGACGGTAATTATTGTTGCCGCCCCTGGGGAGTTGCTGTTGATGTCATGATTTATTGCCCTCTGCCCCGTGGCACACGTGCCCTAAAAAATTTTAATTAACAAAGGCAACACCCGCTTCCAGACCCCCTCCCAATAGCCAATCACTGCGATTGGTCCTATAAATAAATCTTATCATCCTAGCGACTTTTGACGTTGTTGCCAAATTGTTACTGTCATTGTTTGGCCTTAGTTCTGTTTGTCTTCTGTGCAAAGATAAACAGTAAACAATGGGGGACCAGGCCCATCACCAGAACAACCAACTTGGGAACTTGGAACAGGAATCCCGGCAACGCAGCCGAACTGATACCTTCTCTTCTGGCCTAAGGACAGTTTATTTACTTATGGACACGCAGCTTTTTGCGGGTGTCACTGTCAATAGGCTGATAGGTTTTCGCTGCCCCAACTCCTCTATAAGAAAACTTTCTCCTGAAGCACCTTTTCTAACTAACCTGCCCAGAAACTCATGCCTGGCAACAAATTAAATGAATTCGTCGGTGCCAATGGCCAAAATGATTAAATTAGGAGAGCGTTTTGCTCGAGTCCCCCTCGAGGCCGTTTTCAGGATTTCATTTGGCCTTTAACAAATTATGCATATTTATAAATGTAAATGCCGGCCACTGGCCATTCGGAGCTCCACAGTTCCTGAGTTTCAGGACGAGGATGAGGATGTTGTATGATGATGTATGACTCCTCATTATGCGCATAAATGGGTATTGTTTGGGCCTGGTCGAGAAGCCTGTTGCTCCTGGCCATTGGACAAGCCTGTCTGATGGAATGTTCTGGTGATTTAGGCCTATAAATCTGAACGGCGCAATGCCCTGCACTGAGAGGAAATTAGGTTACCCACGCAAGAAAGCTCATTAGAACCATTTTATTCAGGATGATCCAAAGTGAATAAAATTTAAATCATTTATGCGTAATTTTCTATAAAATCCCTTTAAGCTGTGATTATTAAAGGCTTAATTATGTGATGACACAACCTATAATTATTATCACATTAATGTATTTTCCTGGCCAAAATTACATATATTGACAGATCAGAATACCTAAATATGAATATTCCTCTCAGCCTTATTGATTTTTCTGTGTACATCTTAACTGGTTTATGATGAATTCAATTGGTAGCCATAGCTCGGTCGTTCCTCAGACCGCCTTATCAATTAGAGCACATCGTCAGCATTGTACGCACATCTATAAACACTCTGGAGATTTATGTGAAACAATCAGAACAATTAACTGGCCCAGAAACTGCTCAGTCGCAGGAAGTGAGCCGTTTTGGCATGTGTATCTGCATCTGTGTGTCTATTTATTGTTAAATATTGTTTATGCAATGTCTGGGTCTGGCTGTGTGTGTGCCATTCATACCTAATTGAAGGCATTTGTTGTTTGGCCAGAACCAGGAAACCCATTTCTGGGGTAAACAGAGCAACAGAGGCAATGTGTGAAGATTGCGGACGGACATTTCTTGGCCAGTTAGGGGAATATTATTGGGAATATATTATACAGCTAAGTCCACAAAAACACTCCACGGTTGCTGTCGATACTCAAGCGATGACTGAAGATATTGATGGACTCGACTCGATGATGGGGTTCGAAAAGCGAGCTTTGGACCGGGTTCATAACCTGCCGCAAAAAATGCAAATCGCAATCTCTCTGCTAATTAATTAATTATGTATATTTTGCACACTTTTTCCCCCTTTTTTGTGTGTGGCAGAAAAGCGGCTTTGATGTTCGCCCGCCCAAACACGAGTAGTTCCGCAGATTTATGTAAGACAAGCAACGCCCTAAGGTTGCATGGTCCACAAAAACAGGTTCATTGCCGTATTCCCGTAACTCGAGACGGGGCTTTGTGTCAACGCTTAAAAGCTCATTTATCTCTGATTAACTGTTGCCAATGTTGTTGCAGCATCCGAAGATGAAACGGAAACCGAGGCGATCCCGATCCCGATAGCCAAGTTAAGTCGACTCAAAACCGTTCGCATATTGCAAGCCCATCATTTGTCATATTTACAATTTCCCATTTGGCGGGGTTGTATAAATATCATCGAAATGCAGACGACAAATGTCAGTTGGCGAGCTTAAAGAGTGGTAAACAGATCCTCAGCACCAGACATCGAATATTCCTGCCCAAGATGCGTGGATTACTGGTGAGTTGTAAAATCTTGGAAATTAAAATCGAGCCTTGCGGAAAAAATAATAGCTGTTAATTTAATAAGTGTTACTAAACGAAATGTGAAGGAAATGCGCAGTGATATAGAAACCGTTCTCTTAAAGGTGTCTAAAGGTCTAAACATAGTTATATGTTTTATTAAACCATATAGTAAAAACACTTGGATTATGTTTTTAAATCACTATTTTTCCGTTAATTAAATAGACTCATTTACATAGAAATGTGTTGCTCTGTACTTCCTTTTTCCTATAATGCTTAGGAAATACTTTTATTTATGTATTTTTTGAAGATTATAGTAAAGCTATAAATAGTTAATACGAATTTTAAAAGTGGTATACAAAGTATAAGAAGGTTATTATATTTTATATATATAATACGGAAAGTGGTATTTTATGCTAATCCAACTTTCTTTTACCAATTCCAGTTATTTTGCTTCATTGCCGCCGCTTCTTCAGCCAAGTTGGGTTATAATTACCAAGCCGCAGCTGGGGATCGTCGTTTTGCTGGACTTATTGATGCGGAGGCCACAGGATTTAGTTCCACGCAGCACCAGCAACAGCAGCAGCAGCAGTTGCAGGCGCAGCAGGAGTCGCAACAACAGATTCCCGCTGCAGCGGATGAGTTCAGCAAGGAGTTCTACACATATGCTGCTCCGGAGGATGAGTTTGCCGATCGGGAGGCCACCGAGCACATTGCCAGCATGCTGAAGAGGAACCTGCGAGTCCTGTTCATCA